AAAAAAAAAAAAAGAAAGAAAGAAAGAAAACCGTATGCCCCGAGACAAAATTTATTTTACAATCATTCATGGTTTTTTGACCATGTCACCTCGTGATAGGCAACACTACAAGAAGATGATGGTATTCCAACAGAAATATATTTTAAAAGAATTATTCCAACGGCAATTCCAACAGATATTTCAATACTATTATTTCCGTTGGAATTTTTCAGTGGATTCCAACGGAAATTCCAACGAAAATATTCCGTTGGAATGAGTTTTCCATTGGAATTTCCGTTGGATTTTGACGATTCCACCCGTGGATTTTCTAACGGGGGTGGAAAAAAAAATTCCAACGGAATTTGCATATTCCAACAGAAATTTCTACGGTAAAAAGCCGTTGGAAATATAGCCGTTGGAATCATCAAATTCTATCTAAAATTCCAATGAAAAACACATTCCAACGGAATATTTTCGTTGGAATTTTTGTTGGAACTATTCCAACGGAAGCTATTCCATTGGAATATCCGTTGGAATTTCTATTGGAATATATTACCATATGATTTTTCGTTGGAATATAACATTTATTTTGTAGTGCAATAAGCAAACTCGAAAACAAAACAAAACAAAACAAAACAAAACAAAACAAACGAGCATTATTAACTCTTCCACTGACTTTGCGTATTGTGTGGGCTTCTTTTATTATTCAATAATAAGTAATACTTTATGTCAATTTGTCATAACATAGTAATAATTAAGCTCGAAATTATAATGGCAAAATCCGAACTTTGGGGATAGGTAACAATTATAGCACTTAATTCGAAAGTTGCACCAATTTTTCAATTCCTCAAGCTATATGAATTTTTGAAATTTTTCATGTTAACACTTTAGTGATCCATTTTCGTACTGATTTATTTAGCTTGATTAACGTCACCAGAATATAATAATATTATATTTATACGCATTGCTCATTCTGAAAATATGTCTCTTGGAAACAGGTTTATAGAATACAGGTCTTTCGACACGCACGAGTCTCTTAGCAACAGGTCTCTCGGAAACAGGTCTCTCGGCAACAGGTCTATTAGAAACAAGTCTCTCGGCAACAGGTCTCTCAGGCACACACGGGTCTCTCGGTGTGATGATTGCTTCTAATTAAGTTCTATATATATTAGGTAAACTTACTATTATGCAAATCATATATTTTTCGGACAGACACACATATTTTTGTACTTTAACTTCCTTATTTGCAAAAGTATAATATAAATAAAAATAATAGTCGAATGTAAGTTTATTATTATCAAAAAATTGTAATAAAACAAAAAAATAAAAAAAAATTATGAAATAAAGAGGTGAGCACATGTTTGTCATGGGAAATTGGGTAACATAAAAGAGAAGACTGCTGCGTCTCTGTCCGTAGCAGACCGTGTCTGAAGGTCGACTTAACTGATGATGTGACGCAATTTAAGGATTGAAATATGTCAATTATAAAAATTAATTAATTTCTCCCCAAAAAATAATCTCTCTGCAGCTTTCTCTCCCAAAAAAATAAAAAAATAAAATAAATTCTGAGAACCAGCCCCTCTTCTCCTTCTACTTAGGTCCGTATTCGGCCCGTCTGACCATCGGCGAACCGGCACCGGGATCCCTTTTCGAATGCGAGTCGAGACTCGCGTCTAAACGAGATTGGTTCTCCCTTGATTTTGTGAGACTTATTCCTTTGGATATCTGTCTAAGCGTTCGAGTGAATTAGAGTTTTCAATTAAGTATATATATATATTTCCTGATTTTATGCATGTATTTCTATAAATTATGGATTAAAATTTAGCAAAATGTATAAGAATTGAGGACATTACAAAATGTATTGGTTAAAATAAAAATATAAAATAAAAGGATAGCATATATGGTAAAGTAACAATTTCCGGAAGGAAACAAACTTTTTACCCATTAATAATTTGCCTACATATAGACTTTGTTTAGATGTTACCGAATCTATATGTATATAATTACTAGTTCTTCTACATTTAAGAAAACCTCATAAATTATACCTAGGTGGCACTTTTACATTTTCCTCCCAAAAACCGTTACTTTTTATTTATTTAACCTAATTAATAGATAATCAATACACTAATCAATTTAAAATACAAAAATTATTTTGAACTTTTGATTACTGACAG